TTCTACCATCAAGCTCCTCCTCAACCACACCAGTTAAAATCCCAATCACTCTATTAACTTTTTGTTACACAAGGTTGTATATTGCTGTTGGGGGACAGTTGTCCATGAATCTCTCATATCTCTACATGTCTTGGCAAGAACACTCCAGAGCCATCTTTTCAGGAATGTTTGCGTAAGTACGGAGAGAGCGATTCCCTCTGGAGTAAAGGTATTTGTGTTCCTAGATAGTAAATGCACAAGTGCTTCCTCCAGAGATTCTCTTATGTTCCAGGGTAATAAAAATTTCTCTCTCCGGAAGTGGGGATGGAGGAGGGTGGGAAATGGGCAGGTTTGCTTGCAGCCCCGTGTAAGATCAGAGTTCCTCTGCTAACTTCAGGGCTTTTCTCCTACCATGCATATCCACTGTGCATACAGGCAACACCTGGCCCTTGTTGTGGTGTCCTACTGGAACTGGGATTCAGGAAACCTGCACCAGGGTATCCCCATTGCTGCAGATAATAAGCCATCTAACTACATCTGGGTTCATTATCTTGTTGTTGGCCAGATCCACCCCAACAGCTGCTATTTAGGGATTGCTACTCCACGCACTAGTTCCTTGATGCAGGTGTAAGAGCATTTGTTTTCTGTGCTGCGAAGTTCTTTGAGGGCACAGACTAGATATTCCCTTCCTATTGGACTCTCCAGCATGCCAAACACACAGTAGTGCTATCTTGAATGGTGCACAAAGGCTTGGGTATGTTCTATTTGCCATGGCTTCGCTTTGCTCAAGTGTGCATATTTAATAAGACTTTGGGAACTAAAGCCATCCTGGTGACAAATTCCATGCCACCAATGTCCATTCAGAAAATAGGCCTATGTCTTCACAGCCTTGTGGCCAAAGGTACCTGGCTACACACTTGGCTCCCCAAATTATGGGCAAATTTAGCAAGGGGTGGTGGTGGTGGAATTCTCCTTTTTTTTTTAAGATTTATTTATACATTTGAAAGTCAGAGTTACACAGGGAGAGGAGAGGCAGAAAGAGAGAGAGAGAGAGAGAGAGAGAGAGAGGTCTTCCATCCAATGGTTCACTCCCCAGTTGGCTGCAATGGCCGGAACTGCGCTGATCCAAAGCCAGGAGCCAGGTGCTTCTTCCAGGTCTCTCACATGGGTGCAGAGGCCCAAGGACTTGGGCCATCTTCTACTGCTATTCCAGGCCACAGCAGAGAGCTGGATCGGAAGAGGAACAGCCGGGACTAGAACCTGCGCCCATATGGGATGCCAGCGCTTCAGGCCAGGGTGTTAACCCACTGAGCCACAGTGCCAGCCCCCAGAATTCTCCTTCTTGAATGCTTGCTTTGGACAGCAACCCTCAATGAATTCATTTTGTGGACTTTTCCCTCTTAGGTTTGTCAGATTCAACAAATAAAATACAGGACACCCAGTGAAGTTTGAATTTCAGGCAGACATTAATACTTTTTCAGTGTAAATGTGTCCTTAATATTGCGTGGTATCAGAGCTGGTGCTGTGGTACAGTGGGTTAAAGCCCCGACCTGCAGTGCCAGCAACCCATATGGGCACCAGTTTGAATCCCGGCTGCACCATTTCATATTCAGCTCCCTGCTAATGCACCAAGGAAAGCAGCAGAGGATGGCCAAATCCTTGGGACCCCGCACCCATGTGGGAGACCCATAAGAAGCTCTTGGCTCCTGGCTTCGGATGGGCTCAGTTCCGGCCATTGTGGCCATTTGAGGAGTAAACCAGTGGGTGGAAGACCTCTCTCTCTTTCTCTCTACCTCTCTCTGTAACTCTGCCTTTCAAATAAATAGAATAAATCTTTAAAAAAAATTATATGGTCTCTGGGAATAGTTACACTAAATGTTGTTGTTATTTATCTAAAATTCAAATTTAATTGGGTGAATTCTATTTTATGAGGTAGGCTTATTCTCTGCCCTCCCCGCTCTAAAGCCTATTCAGCTGAACCTTATTCTTGGACTATGGCCACTTCTCTAAGCTATCTTCAGTAGCTTGCTTGCTTTTAAAGTATTCTTTTCTATAGAGCACACTTCTGGGATTGGGAGAGATGCAGAGGGGTGTTTGGGGAATGCACACAGCCATTTTCCTGGTGGGCCCAGATTGTATCAATGTTTTCAGGAAGCAGAATGATGAGGTGGTTGATGGGCTTGCCTTTGAGTGACCTGGAAGCAGTTAAATGCTTTGGGGCATTTGATTTCTTATTGTGCTTTGTTTTCACTGAAATTAATTAGATATTTATTTTATTTGAAAGGCAGTGGGGGTTAGGGAAATCTCCCATCTACTTGTTCACTCCCTCAAATGCCTGCAACATCCAGGACTTGGCCAGGCCAAAGCTAGAAGCCAGAAACTCAAACTGGGTCTCCCATATGGGTGGCAGGGACCCAAATACTTGAGCTTGCTGCTTCCCAGGGTGCACATTAGCAGGAAGCTAGAATGCAGAGCAGAGCCAGAATTGGAGCCCAGGCACTCCAATATGGGATGTGGGTATCCCAAGTGACATTGATAGTCCAGATGCCCACCCATGTTTTATTTTTAAAATCTATAGCTCCCAGAATTGCCCCGAATGGAAGAAAATGAAGTGGCTAAGGTTTCCTACGGTGGAGTTGGAGATTACGAGAAGATTGCCCTCACGCCTGCTCAAGTTCAAGCCACAGAATGTGCAATAGACTTGTCTAAAGAACTGAAGTCAGTAGCGCTGACCTTCAACATCTCTCAGCTGGGAGTATCCTAATTAACCAACAAGTCAGAACAGGTTTGTGATTTAGGATTTCTGCCCAGCCAATGAACGGCCTCTGACAGCAGCTTGTGTGGAAATTTCCTACAAACAAAAAAAAAAATCTCTCTTGTGTTTGCTTTGCACGACACTGTTCAGGGCTGTCCTGATTCAATTCTTTGTTTCCCAAATAAAAGCTGCTTCCTTTTACCTCCATGTCAATCTTATTTTAAGTCAACACTGTAAAGTCAGATCTAAAAATCAAGAAATATCCACCTGCTGTGTATTACTGAAAGCTGAATTGGCATCCAGAGGAGGGTAGAGAATGGAAGATCCAATTACCTCTTAGATAGGCGGCTGTCAAAGCCCCTGGTTTTAATCCGTAATGGATGCTTTTCCCATTGACCCCTTGTGTGCAGGGACTATCTTGTCTACCTCTGTGCTGAAAAGGAGCTGATACAGGGATTCCTTGACACTCAACCTGGAGGCAAGGCTTACATGAGGCTTAGCTCTGAGCTGCAGGGAAAGAAGTCTAATTCCCATTCCCCATGGAAGACCAGGAAATGGTGACCTCTGCTCAGGCAGCTGGGTAGCTTTGCAGGATGAATAAACACCTTTCTAGGGATTTGCCAGGTCTGTTCAGGCTGGGGGCAGAGATTTAAATATGAATTCCCGTCCCACTGAGGTAGGGACTTACAGGATGAGCCCCTCCGTAGGTCGCTTCAGGCTGTGGGGTTGACCTGTCCACACTGGCCTCCTCTGCTGGCTCCAGTTCAACAGGTGCAGCCGACAAGCTTCTTCACCTGACTCCACCCACACAACCTCTTTCTGTGGCTCCTCTGTCCCTCCGCTTTCCACTCTGATCCTCAGACGCCAGGGAACGGGGCTCCTCTCACACTGGGTTTCAGGGAACTCTGGGATCCTTTATGGGCTCCGACAAAACTTCCCTGGTAAGCATGGCCATTTCCGGTCACCCCTTCTCTGCCTTCCTCCCTCTTACAGACACACTGCTTCTCCTCTTCAGATGGCTATTGGCTTCCCTGTTTCCTGTAACCCCTTTTCTCACTAGGCTCTTGCCTCTGGCATTGAGAACCTTGTGCTGAGCCTCATAACTCCAGCAGAATCGTGTTGGAGGGAAGGCTAAGCATTAGAACCCAGGGCTCCATGCTGGATCCCCTGAGCCACAAGCTCTGGTTCTGAGGCTCAGAAATTGAGTGTTTCAGCTAATTCCTAAGCACAGTAAAGTTTGGGAACTAAAACCTGGATTCTGGGATGGAGTTGGAGCTGTGCTTCCCTCCCTTTGCTGGGTTTTAAGAGACTCATTTTGTCCCCTCTTTCAGGGAAGTCCCTATCATCCCTTTCTCTACTTCTATCATCTCTTTCTCTACCTCTATCATCTCTCTCTCTCTCTCTCCCCCTATGTCCATGTCCACGTCCATGTCCATGTCTATCTCTATCTCTATCTCTGTCTCTCCAGTACTGAGTAACCTTAGTGCAAGTCTGAGAGGATATTTTGAGAGAAATTTTGAGAGACATTGTAGGGGCAGAATGATCCCAAGAAAGAACCTGGCCTGGAAAATCCCCTGACTCATGAATATTCATGCTGGCCACGGTCAGTTTTGATCACTCAGATCAATTCAAGACACTTTCTATATGCCTTTGTGAGAGCAGCAAACAGGTTCTGGGAATAAGGAGGTAGGGAAGAAGATTGAGGTTAAAATGAATTGACAGGCAATAGGATTAGAACGCTTGCCCAATCCTGATCTTGCGCGTAACTAACAGTGGCCTGAAATTAAAGAATTAAACCATGAAGCCTTCCTTGACAACTGATCTGATAGGCCCAGAAGTAAATTTCAGGGACAGTGCTGTCAGGCAGAGGTGGGAGCCGCTCACTTAAGGGGCCTGGGGAGGCTGGGGAAGGGCAGGGCAGCTTGGTCCCCTTGCTATTCGGGGAGAGAGGCATTGGTCCCTCTTGGTACCAGAGGCTAAAATGGTTCTGGGGCAAGTTAGTTGTCAGGGTTTCTGTTCACCTCTGGTAGCATTTTCTTCCCCAGATCCAATTATGACTTTAATACGAAGGCAAAAATGAACAGGGGAGAAAGATAATGAAACATAAGTCAAACGCGGCAGCTGGCAAATTTCTGATCATTTCCCTTGTAGTATTTCATTTCTAGTCCCTCATGTTGCAGAGTAGCCTCTCTGTGTGCGTGTGTGTGTGTTTGTGTGTGTGTAGAGGCAGAATTTACCACCAACACCAAGAAACAACTCCAGATGCTTCAAGGAAACAATATCAAATGCAATTTAATGACATTTTCCATGGGAGACAGGGTAGAAATAAAGGTAAAGTAGCATTCTAAATTGCTTCTTCTTACTGTCTTTAACATCATAAGAAAGCCTAAAAAAATTCTATATACATCAATTCAGGCTAAATACAATGCCTCTCAATTTCCTTTCTCTTCCATATCTCCAAACCCTACAAAGAAAAGATCAAAAAAGCATGGGGGCTTAATTATAGTATAATACTGAAGGTGAAATATTTTCATACAATATAGGAAAAGACAAACCCATGTAGGTAACTCATGTGATGACCTGGTCTGAGGGAAGAATCAATGCTTATTTACAAAAGATCTCTTGGATCACTCTTCAGTAACATTTTTCTCCACCCGAGTTTTCTCCAGGTGAACACCAGATCTTGAAGGTAATTTTCAGAACAACAACAACAAAAAATCTAAAATTTGAGACTCTGACTAGGAGACTCCTCTCTGGATGCCTTTTGTAGCTAAACTTTAAACAAAGCCTAACTCTTTAAGGTCCAACCTTCCCACCATACGTTGGATCCAAGTAGAAGTTCCCACAAGTCTCAGGGCTGCCATCCTTAGGTTGAAACCACCGGGATTAGAGTAACTGCTTTGCTGTTGACCTTGGAGGTTCTGCCTGCTTCAATGGACTTGGCCTGGGATTTCCTGTGACTTTCATCCTGGTGGGAACCACACCCGTGATTTAGGAGGAATGTTGGCGTGGGTGGGCCACAGGTTGTGAACAGGGTGCTTGCTGGGTTGCCGTGAGTGAAATAGGAAGACTGCATGCCTCATGGGACATTCCTCAGCTCGTTGCCTTTTCTGCCTTTCAACTTCATGTTCCATGAGGGTTCCACTTTCATGGTAACAACTCCACATGAGGTTTGAGCCCACTGTTTACTGTGTCTTTTCAACTGTTGGATATTTCCAATTTCTAGTTTCAAAGTAAAGCATTTCTGTAGATTAGGTTTTGGCCAAAAATTTTAGAGTAGGTTTTGGTGAGAAAGAAATAGCAGGGGGACCGAGTAATGGAAGAGTCCAATTTGTTTTTGTTTTTGGGATTGACAACAGGGTAGGTTGTGTGGAGCCATGCTTTTTCCACGAGAACCATCAAATAGAATGTCCTCACACTTACAGCTTGGGTTTTCCCAATAAGTTGTTGTTTGGCCATCCTGGCTGTTATCTGTGGCCCTGCAAGTGTGGCCATCAGGGTCTTGCTTCTTGCAATGCCCCCCTGCCTCCTGTTGTGTGCATCAGCAATGTCTAAGCAGTGGCACGTGAGAAAATGTGTAACAACTGGCTTTCAAGGAGGAAAAGTCCTGGCATGAGGCATTTTCTAATTTCTGTGGTATAAATACTCCCAGCATCATGGCTAATTTCAAGCTGTCACCATGGCATCACTGAATGTGGCATTGGAAGATTGTATATCGGCACCTCATTATATAACATGTTTCTCATAGACATGATAGAAAATAAAACGAATAGTGAAATCCCCTTTGAAAGGGATGAGTTTTGAGTATTTATTTTTGCTTCAAATATGATTGGCTTAATTATAAGTTTATATAATGTAATTTTAAATAATGATTGTAGTTAATAATCTGTTTGCAAAAACCCTAACAATCAAGCTTCCATATTATAAGCCATTTCTGCTACACCACTGGATTTTGGGCTAAAGAAAGAGGGAGAAAAGGAGGAGAAAAGGGCACAGGTAATACTCAAGTACTAGAAGGTCTTGATGCCATTCAGACTTGATGATGGATCCTTCTGAGCTGTGGGTCCACAGTTTCATGGAAATGACATGTTGGTCAGACACCTGGACTTTGGAACCAGACCTGCTGGGTTCCAGGCCCAGCTGTGCCATTTGTTAGCTGTGTGAACTTAAGCAAGTTATCTAACCTCTCTAAGCTTAAGGTTCTCATCTATAACATGGTGCAATACATAGTACCTGCTTCCTAAGCTTGTTAGAGGGATTCCATGAGATTATATTCAAATGGCAGCCATGAGCACTACTAGGGTTACCATTCCGATCCATGTCTAAGAGGGTCATTGTAGCCACAGCAGTGATGGTGTCCAGCCCAGGTGCAGACTCACGTGGATACTGATTGTTGAACAACATCTTCTCTGTATACAGCTTGCAGCACCAGACGTTCACGTAGGCACAGACTCAAGTGGTGGAAGCTGCCTGTCTCCATGCCTCCTAATAATGTTCTCGCTTCTCACGGATGCTGATGTTCAAGTACAGGAAACTCAGTTCTCACTACTAAGTGCTTCTGTCTCTTTAGATATCCTTTTAATTTTTATTTATTTATTTCCATTTATTTGAAGGCAGAGAGACAGAAAATGACAGAGACAGAGAGATCTTCCATCTGCTGGATCACTCCCCAAGTTCTTACAAGAGCTAGGTCTGGACTAGTCAGAAACCAGGAGCCTGGCACTCAGTCTTGGTCTCTGATGTAGATGGCAGAGACCCAAGTACTGAACCATCAGGTGCTGCCTCCTAGCGAGCACATGAGCAGAAAATTGGAATCCGAAGTAGAGCTGGGATTAGAACCCAGGTGCTCCATATGAAATCCCAAACAAGTAGTAGCTTAGCTTAACTGCTGTGCCTAACACCTGGCCCTAGACATCTTTTTAAACTATAAATACTCCTTAGTATAAAATGTAAATACTCCTTGGAAGGTGAGTTGTTAAATCCACACCTTGGTGTGAATGAGGCAGCCAGATCCCAGCCTGTGAGTGGCAAAGGGACCTGCTTCCAGGTTGACCAGACACCTTTAAAAGCAAATCCAGCAAATCCAGAAAGACTCCAGTCTTTCTCTCTCTGTTCCTCCAGTGACCCCAGAACCAAGACCCAGCTGAATCTCACATCCAGATTCCACTGAAGAGGTGGGAGTACCATTGGGAACTCATACTGCGTTCTTGATGTATGACCTTGAGAATGTCATTTCATGTCTCTGAACTTTTTTTTAGGTTATTGAAGATACGAATGATGATTACCCTGAGACTCAAGTAGGAGAACCCTTTGGGAACTAATGAGCCCCAATACACACTCTGTGATGATCATTGTCTATTCTCCATTGTTGTTGGTTCCTCTTTTTTCTTCAATTCTTCACATGTGGCTATGAAGAGAAAGGCTTTCTTGGGAGCACCATAGGGATAAGAAAATAACACATTTTCCAACCCTTAATCCTAAGAGTTTCTAATAACCAACACACAGGTTCATACCTGGGATCCTTTATTCCTAATACAGTCTTGGGTGCAATACTAATAAGTGGAATTCAGTCCCAGTTTGGCTCAGGTCATTTGGCACCATGAAAGGCAAAGGTGATGCCTGCAGGAATGTTAAGGCCCTGTGGATGCTGATTGTGAGGTCTTGTTTGCTTCTCTGGGGGCCCCTGCGATGTCACACAAATGGTTTCCAAACTACAGAGTGCTGGAATCCAGGAGAGGTTGCAGCTTCCAGGAGGATCAGACTCATGGCCAACGAGGGCTTGGGTTTTGGACAAGGCCCGGGGAGAAAGTGGGAAGCCATGAGGGCCAGTGTCTCCCAGTGCTGAACAACCAGCCCGAGTATTCCAGAGCATCCACGGGGTTCAAGGGCAGCAGCTGGAGCCCTGGGCCACGTCTGAGCGCTCTCAGAACAAGCAGGCTTCAACTGTTCCTGGGACCTGCAAAGCTGGCTTTGCTTCAACCTGTGCCACAATGCCTATTGCCCCCTCTGGACTCTCGCAGAATGAAGTCTCAGGGTCCCAACAATCATGTGTGACGAGAGGGTCTGTGTTATTAAATCCTTTATTGCCTGGCACCTTCTTTCTGGTGCTTGGGGGTATCCTTGGCAGCAGAAGCGGCTGGAGGATTACTCAGTTATTGGGGGAAGGGGGCCGTGTTTCAGGATCTGATATGTCTGGCGGAGAAAAGATGGCTGAGGGCCGGCCAGGCCATTTGCCTGAAACTAAGTGCTCCCTAGAAGGCCTGCTGGGATCCAGCCGAGGTGACTGGTGAGGCAGGGGCCACAGAGAGTAACATCTGGTTGGCAGAAGGCCCACTGGATTCCAGTGAGCACGGCACGGCCCTTGGGTGACACACTTTCATGGTGTCTGGAGAATGACCGGAGCGGAGGAACAGACACACCCAAAAGGAGGGAGGACAGGTCCTCCTGGGGAGGCTTAAAGGCACCCAACTTAGAAAGGAAAAGACACAGTTGACTCAAAGATGCGAATTCGCTTCAAATGCACGAGACATTCCTGTAAGACGCTGACGAATTGTTTGATGAACAAATGAGAGACGACGTGGGCGCAATGTAGACTTCCCTGGCCTTGTCGTGCAACGTGCAACAGGGTGCTGCTTGCACACCCGGACCACTGGGGAAGGTGAGGTGCTGAATGGGGTGCTCCAAGCCTTTTAGAAAGCAGAGATAGCAAAGCGGAGCTCCCGGTGGGTGGAGGTCAGGGCCAGCCGTGCAGGTCTGAGGCCCTGGGGGCAGCCCTCTGTCTTCCTCGTGTGGGAGGCGGCGTCATGGCTCTGATTTAGGAAGTATCCAGAACAAAGTGGGTCTTTGATACATAAGGACTTCCCCTAGTAAGGGGCTTGGGCGATTCTAGAAACTGATGGTAAAATTCTCAGCAGGGAATGCCCTCCGGGAGGTGAGAGAATTTTTAGGTTTTCTTTTTTTCTGCCTTCTCTCTTCCCCTGCATGTTCACCATCCTTGTCTACTTCTTGCTTAGCAGAGGGCAAAGGCCTTTTCAGGAAAGCACCAAACACTTGAGGGCTTTGCTTCCAGAAAGGGGAAAGATGGCACAGCCTGAGTACAAGGCCATGGGAGCCCAAGTAAAGAGGTTCAATGTCAGACCAGTTTCCGCACCCCAGGGATCAGCCCGGAGGACTTATTGTGCCTCGCCCCCTGCTGTCTGGGGAGGAGATGGTCTCCTCAAGTCAGTGAGGCTGGGCTTCGTCCAGAGGTTCCTGGGAGGGTGTCAGAGTTGGATCCAGTTGGTCTGAAGCACGATCTGTCTCTGAGCTGGCCAGGTCCCTCTCCCCACCCCACAGCCCTCACCTATTGCAGATGGAGCTCTCTCTGAAACAGAGCAAACCAAGAAGGAAGAAATGGCTCAGACACCAGGTCTCCCTCCAACCCCAGCATTCTGCTTCATGGTCTGGGTAGCTTTTGCCCATTTTGGAAAGCAATTGGTGGTGGCAGGAAACAACTACTCTGACTGAGCCTTACAGACATTCTATAAAATTATAACAACAGAACAGGACAAACGTCACACCAAGATCTTAAATCACACAATGTTTACAGAATATAATGCCCCATGGCAGACAAATACTAAATACCACAAAGTACCTGAGACAAGAACAGAAAGAAGCAAAGAAGGAGGAGAAGACTAAAAAGGAGTGTGGCATCCTGGCCTCCGGCGGTCCCAGGAGCACAGGCAAAGTTCACCGGGGGCTGGGTGTGGGCGTCCCGGGGCTCCAGCCTCACATCTCGGTTTCCGTCGCGTGGACCTCGGTCGCCGTGATAGCGATCCCGATGGCAAGGCTGCCATTGTCAGAGAAGAGCTGGGCCAGCGACGTGTTGAGGACAAGGCAGTCCCCGTCGGTGATCACGGAGTCCACGCACTCAAGGACAGACCGGGGGGTGGCCTCCCACTTGAGACGCCGGTGGTTCCTGTTGAGCTCCAGGCGGTAGGTGAAGCAGTCGGCCTGGGTGGGGGTCCCGATCAGCATCATGGTGGCGAAGAACTGGGGGTGCCCCTCGTGCCTCTCCTGTTTCCTTAGCACCAGCAGGAAGTGGTGGCCGAGGCAGGAGTGCAGGATGATCCAGTCGGCTGGCGCCGGCAGGTGCATGTCCGTAGCCAGGAAGACAATCTCCGCTCCCTGCAGGATGTCGACCCTGTGGATCTGCCGCAGGTGCGGCACCACCACCTCCAGGTGGCCTTCCCACTGGCAGGAGAACAAGGGGCACATGCAGGGGGTCACCTGGGCAGTGTGCAGCCCTGCCTCCTGGTGGTGGAGGAGGTGGGGGTGGGCGTGGTGGCGCAGGTGGCGGTGGCGGTGATGGCGGTGATGGTGGGTGAGATGGTGAGAGTGGAAGCTGCCTTGCTCTGCGGTGCTCTGAGCGACGGCGCGTCGGCTGGACACATACTAGAAGGAAAGAGAAGCAGGTTAGTGGACTGAGGTTGTCTTCCCCTCGCTGGGACTCCCCTGGTGTTCCAGGTAGTAAAAGCAGGCTCTCCAGGTGGAAGAGAAAGTTCCACTTCCTTACAACAACCAGAGCCCTGGTGGGTGCTTCGGGGGAAGCTGAGATTCAGAACACTTAGTTCAAGAAAATGCAATATTTATATGCCTATCTGATTCTTTAATAAAATATCCAAGCAAATAGGCAATTTTGCCCTTCAAAGAACACATGGTGATGGTCATCAATCATAAAGGACAAGAAAATCCATTCTTTTGTTTCTGCTTTTTTGATACTGTTTTTTTTTTTAATGAAGGAATATGGGTCAATGGATTTTTTTCCTCCTACTTTGTCATTATTATTATTTTGTGAAAGAGATTTCCACCCTCTCTGTGTATCCTTCTAGAGCTCCTAGGGTTGTGCCATCTTGGGCTCTGGGTCCTAAGACACCTGGTGGGATGCAGAGCCCATTGGGTGTAGTTGTACTGCAGTGGCCGGGGAGGAAGCCCCACCAGAGACTCTGCCTCCACCCCCACCCTGCGCCACCCAAGGCCCACTCCCACCGCTCCGGGCTCATCTTTTCCAGGGGCTCACCATCCTCCAGCCTCTACCCTGCGACTCTCTTAACTTTTTGTTCTTCAAGGCAACATGACCACAAATGCCCTTAAAAACACCAGGGGCTCTGATGGCACCTTCTGACCAGCCCCCTGTTGAATCTGTTGAACACCTGTCATGGCCAGACCCTGCAGGCGTTAGGGATACAGCCGCAAGCCCGGTAGATACTGAGTCTCTTGGTGTGGGTGGTAGTGGATAATTCATTAAGTTTTTGACTAGGGTCCTCCTAAGATATGAGGCTATCATGTTTTTCAGTTGAAAGCAGGCTTGGGTAGTAACAAGCCTGAGGTTCCAAAGCTGGTAAGTGAAAGATTGGGATTCTTATTTGTACCTTTTGACTCTGAACACAGGAGCGCTTGCGGCTCCCCCTGCCCCCGCCCAGCTCTGCCTTTCTTTAATTAGCCTGCAGGATCTGGGCCATGCAGCGGGGCTGGTAGCTGTGTAGTGCACGGCAGGCACGCGGCCCCCACCTGATCCCCAGGCTGCCCTCAGGTAGGCAGTGTCCCTTCCGCCCTAGCTCTCCAAACCCCCTCCGGACTTCAGGTACCCCGGGCCCTTGCCTTCTCACTTGGCTGCAGTTCATTCTCGAAGTGGAAAGGATGGGAGGGGGCCTTGAATGCTCCATGCTCACTACCACTGCTGCCAGTTTCTGCCTCCCCTGACTCACTGTGGCTAATAGCAAAGGCCTGGCTGCCTTTCTTTTCTTCAGAGCATGAAGGATAGATACACATATATGCACACACAGCCATGCATGCAAAACACATGCACATGCATGCATGCCCAAACACAGTACACACTCCTGACATGCAGGATGTACACACACACACACACACACATTCCCACACAGCCCTCTACATGGCACATCGAGATGGTCACTCTGGTAGTGGAGAGACCTGGAGGCAGGTGGGTGCCAGGTCAGCTCGGCTCTGGCGCTGTTAGCTCCAACAGCCAGGGTCTGCCTCCTGCCCCAGGAATGTGAGCTACAGGGGTCCCAGCACTGCCCCTCAATGGCAGCAACTGGGCAGCCTGCTGTCACTCATTCTGCACCCTCACCAGGGCCCTGCCTCAAAGGAGACTGTGCATCTTCAGTGCTACAGGAACAGGCTGTGTTCCAGCGTGCTGCTAGTGAGCCCTCTGAGTCGCTTCAGTGTTAAATATGGGGAACGGAACTGACTTCCATGCAGTAGTACTGAATGTTAGGCATTGTGGAGGGGAGCTATCATTTGAATAATCTTTTTTTTTTTTCACAGAAAAGATAAATTTCCATATTTTTTGACAGGCAGAGTTAGACAATGAGAGAGAGAGAGACAGAGAGAAAGGTCTTCCTTTTGCCATTGGTTCACCCTCCAATGGTCACCGCGGCCGGCGCACTGCGGCCGGCGCATCTGCTGATCCGAAGCCAGGAGCCAGGTGCTTCTCCTGGTCTCCCATGTGGGTGCAGGACCCAAGCACTTGGGCCATCCTGCACTGCACTCCTGGGCCACAGCAGAGAGCTGGACTGTAAGAGGGGCAACCAGGACAGAATCCAGCGCCCCAAAATAATTTCCATCTGGCTTAATCCCCATGCACCTACTGCGGGTACCATTTAAATTTTTATTTATTTATTTTCATTTTATTTGAGACAGATATTTGTGTGTGTGTGTATGTGTGTGTATTTTAGGGGGGGGGAGGGAGATCTCACATCTGCTAGCATATCCCCAATGCCTGCAGCAGCCATGGTTGGCCAGACCAAAGACAGGAGCCTGGAACTCCATCCAGTTCTCCTAGGTGGTGGCAGGAACCCAAGCACTTGAGCCACCATCGCTGCCTCCGAGGGTGTCCATTAGCAGGAAGCGAGATGCAGAAGCAGAGATGAAACTGAAACCTGGGCACCCCAAAATGGGACGCTGGCCCCCCCCAGGGCATCTTAACTGCTGTGCCGAAAGCGCACCCCGGAGAGTACCACTTAACCATTGAGTGGGGGTGATTCCTCCCATCCTCTGGGATGGAGCTGTCAAGGGCTCACAACTTCCATGAGTCAGGCTCCAGAGTCCCCCCTTGCTCCGTCCAGAGCCCGTGGGCCTGGCAGGTGGTCTCCCTTTGCTGCTGTGCTCGGAGGACTTGGTGTTAGGCTGTCACGAAAAACCCCAACCACTATCCATCCCCAGTCTCTGTCATAGTCTTTACAACAGCATGAAAGGAACAGAGAGATGGGGTCGCTTTCCCAAGGTTACACAGCTCATAAGGCTGTGGCTGGGATCGGAGCCCAGATCAGTTAAAGGTGGCAGGGGTTGCAGACTTGGAAAACCACAGGCTGGGTGTCAAAAGATTCTGATCTGTTTCCCTGTTTGCTAGTCCAGCAGCCTTGATTAAGTCAGTGTTCTCCTTGGCAAAACATTTATCTAAAGGGTTGCTAGAGGCTCAGATGTAAAAAGGCATTAAAAACACTATCCAGAGTTCTATCAGGTTGGCATTGCCATTGTGATGTGGCTTGGGGTGAAGACTTTTGGCGGCTTTGCTCGGTCCATGGCTGCCTGTCTCCGATTTTCACATGTGAGCAGCAATTTGGGCTGAGCACAGAGCACACCATAAGTGCCTGGAGAACCTGACCTTGCCTTTGGCCTGGGGCTTCTTATGCCAGAGCTGACCCACGATAAGAGAACACTTCCAAATTCCCATCCAGAAATGGCTTCTGGGTGAGTGATTTCCCAACTTGTCCATTCCCAGATCCAATTTCCATCTTTGTCCTGATCTATGCAGCTAATATCAGGGGTGAGAAGTCCCAGTAGGAGGAAGCAGGGAAGAAATACCTTGACCTCCCCTTCCTCTCTCTTTCTCTCCCTCTTCTCTCTCTGCCCTTTCCCTCCAATCTCCTGCCAGTGCCTTTTCTTGGCTAAAACCAACCGGAGGCCGGGCAGCCCAGGAGACGACGCTCAGGCAGGGTTGGTGTCCTTAGGAAATGGTGCTGGGGGAGGCAGACGGGTGCAGAGGGAAGATCCTCCTGTGTGCAGATGTCCTGGCTGCCTCTTACTTGAGGCTGCTGATCTGAACAGGTTGGGCCTTCTACACCGAGCTCTGATGGGGCTTAAGGTTGGGGTTGGGGGCAGGGGGACGCATGCTCATAACTCATTAAGCCATCCCACAAGACACATATACACTGTCCAACAGACAAGAGGCTAAAATACAGAGCAGAACAGAATGCTAACTAGAAAATGCACAAAACAATGCCAAAATGCAGTGTGTTCTAGAGACCTTGCAAGTGCAGAGGTAGCTATTCACGCCAGTAAGGGTGAAGCGTGGAGGGTGGGTTCTCTAACAAAACAGGCAAAGTGCTTGTTGACTGGGACAGCAGCCGATTTGAAGGAGCTGAGTATGAAAGGACATGGGATGTCTAAGAATGACAAGAGCTGGTTGATGGAGAAGGAGAGGAGGTGTTGGACCACGTTGTCAGGGCCTCCTAAGGTAAGGCTCTGGGATAGCACCCAGGGCAGACCCAGACTCAGCTGTAGGCACCGGGAGCTGTGCTGGCACACTGGACTGGCCAACCCCAAGTCTCCCCCTTGTTCAACCCCTGGACCCAGGCAACGGTCATTCCACCCGGACTGACTCTCTTTGCTTCCTTTGGATTTCATCTTCAGCTAACCTTGTTTTTTAATGCTACTGCACTATAAAGCTGCCAGGGATGTAATCCAGAGACTGGAGTGAATGACTATGCAGATAAAGTGGGACATTATAAACTCATCGAGACCTGTGCAATTGCTGTGCCCCAGAAGGCGCTAAGAATAAACGCAGCCTTAATTCTTCATTTCTTTCTGCTCTATCTTCGGATGCAAAATACGTTTCATTTAAACGATCCTTGGGTGAGGGAGGTCACAGGGCTGCTGGCAGGGAGAAGGGATTCTTTTAATTGGTAAAATGCTAATCGTTTTGGAAAATGAATTCTAATCATCCCATCTAATACAGTGGATGTGTGAGTAATTACTTTCCTTCACTAAACTGTTAATGCAACATTAGTGATTACACTAATTAAAACTAATGAACTCTTACAGACTGATAAACCCCCCAGTCAGTCAGCGATGCCTTCCTTCCATTGGCTGTATTTAACTTCCCGTTTGGAAGAGAGATCTTGAATTAACCTTTAGAATAATGTGCAAAATTGGGTTTAGAAATGTTAGACTTTATAGACTGGGTATAATTCTTTCCCCAAGCATTAGTGAGGCCATTTCTACTGCGGGTGTAATTGAATTTAAAAACTCATTCCTTAATTTGATCAGCCACACTCTCATGGTTAGTAATGGCTATCTGAATCCTGACCTCCGAAGAGGAACCCTACCCCTGGAAACCTCACACGACATTCCACCTGCGCTGGCTCTCT